CAGCCCTCAGGCTCGGTGTCCCGGCACCGCGTCCCCGGCCGGTCACAGCCGCTGGCAGCGCCTGAGGGCCGGCCTCCTCCACAGCTCAGCCCTCGCAACTGCCTCCCCCGGCTGCTGCAGGTCCAAAGAGGGTACGGGAGTACGAGTTATAATTAACAGAATTAAAAATAGGCTTTGAATAAACTGAACACCCGGAGAGGTTAGAAATTTGTCGTGCAGCTGGCACGTCAGGAGGAAAGTGAGTGGTATTATTCAAACAAAGGTAATCCAAGACACCGCAGCGCGGGAGCTTCGACCACCAGGCAAGTACCTTTAAGCTTGTTTACAGAGCAGCCCCCGGTGAGGCCAGCACCTGCACCGAGCAGTGAAACCCCACCACAGCCAGCTCCGAGCCCCCGAGAGGGCCAGGACAGAGCAGCGGCTGAGCCCTTGTGCTCGGGAACTTCGATATCTGTGAAATTAGAGTTTGCTTTCCAGCTGGAGTTACAGGCTGAGGATCTCTGGCTGAAAAAGATGCTTGAAAAAAACAAACCCATTTTAGTTAAATACCAGTCTGGCTTGTATTTAAGTTTCTTACATATCTATCTTCAAGATAATAGCCATGAAACACTGGATGTAGGTTTCTTTCCTCTCAGCTGATGTTCACAAGTCGATCCTGGGAAGGGAGAAACTGTACAGCCAGTTACACTGGAGAAAATGTGAAACAGACTATGAATAAAATGCCATGCAGTTCAAAAACAAAACCTGCGAGAAACTAAATGAAAGAGTAAGACATTGGTGGGGGGGTTCTTTTTGCTTTTATTTTTTTTTTCCCCCTTTTTTAATACTAACTCTTTATAGTTTGGGGCATTTATGGATTGTTTTTAACTAGGATCAAATTTTCAGACAGAAATGGGATTTTTAATATCAGTCTTCCTCAGAAAATTTTTATTGAGGAAATATGCTTGGATGGCTGTGGAAGCCATCGTGATGATTGGAGTAAAAGAGTACAGAAGGAGAAGACTGGGTTAAATGAATTCCTGCTAAATACCTACCAGCAGACTTGCTGTCTGTATGGAGAGCTGGAGACAGAATTGTACCAGGGTAAAAAGGATAGTGTGTCTATTTATAGTGCTGCCTTCAACACCATAGGAATTCAAAGGAAAACTCCAACTCAGCACACAGTCTTCTCATCATCTTCTTCTGTCAAGATTAAATGGGGCCTGAGATCATTTCCCCTACAAATCCTTTCTAGGAAGGATCTGTTCCTTTGTGTAACAAGGAACTATCATAGTACAAATCACTCCAGAGGCCATGTCCTCCTCACCCAGCCAAATGTCATCACTTTCCTTTGGGTAGTCAGAGGAAGAGGAGAGAGACCCTTTCAAGTGTCAGCACTTAAGCAGGAAAGACCAAAGACTTTTCACCTGCCATGCATCCTTGCTCCCTCATACTCTCCCCTGCCCTTCTTACACCAGCTGCTCTGGGACACTTGCAAACAAAAGGGTAAATGTAGCTCCAGCACAATCCCAGTGCCAGGCAGCAAAGAGAGGAATAAGAACACGGTGCTGGCACACAGTCACGGTCGTTCATGGTGTCACTTCAGATGAGGATCTTACCCTGTGTGTCCCTCTTGCCACTGCAGAACTATCTATCTCTGGAAAGGAATGAGCTCCAATAGGTGTGTGGGGCACCTATTTATCAGTAGATATTATCTCTAATGTTGAGAGTACAAATGAAAGCAGCTTTGGAAAGGGTATTAGCAAAAACCTGACTGCCACTCTAAAGTAAAGGTACACTCCTGGAGTTCCTTAGCTCTGCTCTTCTTTTAGCATCATGGTGCCTCAGATTTCCTTCTCATCTTCCACCTTCCAGTTTCTTTTTAATAAGAGCTGCTTTTTCATTCTTCACAAAGCACTACCTACTCTGTCTCTATACCTGTCTTTTGTAATTCTGTTACCAAGCTGTCTGCTAGGTGGGGAGCAGAAGGTGCAGGACTTGGTGCTGCCTTTGAGGTACAGGTAATTATTATGTGCATCTGTTATTGTGGTTGCTGCCTCAACAGGTGGAAAACATGCTGTTCTCTGATAGATTTGCAGCACTCCATGCTCCTGCCTTGTCTTTTCTCTAAAGCTAGTCGTGTGGTGTTCCTAAAATAATAAACACAGCCTCACTGCTGCCACAAAAACCCCTGGTAAATATATTTTTATGGGAATGAAGTATTAAAGGATTTGAACACTTACTCACTGAAAGCAAAATATGAGCAGGAAGGTTGGGTAAAGATTCAAAGGCTGGTTTGCTTCCTTTCCCTGGGGCACATCAAGGCTGTACTGTTTGCACTTCAGAGATGGATAGTGGGGAATTACTTAACCCAAAATGATGGAAACAATTCAGACTATAATAATATAGCATGAGAGTTTCTCATATTACATCTATTCCCCATACTGCTGGATATACTCTGCCTTCAGATTCACGTGCACAACTCTCATTGGAATCTGGAGGAACTGTATTTGAAGCCAAAATGCATTTCATTGTCTTTCTGAAGTCTCTCTGCAGCTTACTGGCTAAATTCTGAGCTCAAGAACTGGGAACAAAGCTTGTCTATACATTTCCCAGTGTCTGTCTCTGTGAGATTCCCATCTGTTGTGTTTTATTTTGGATTTCATCTTCCTACTTTCCTACAAACACAAAGCAGAAACAAACATTTCCTCTGCCCTGGAGTGCAGGAGTCACCTAATTTCCCAGCAGGTTCTCTCAGCAATATACAGTGGATCCAAGTTTGTCTTAAAATGATACAAGCCCTTTGTGGAGAAGAAAGGGAGGGACCAGAAATCTGGGCCAAATTTCTGAGTATTGTGAAAACCCCCTGCCCCCCAAAGAGACTCCATTTCCTGTTTCTCCCAAAAATGTCACCTGGGTTTGGGTTTTATTAAAAGAAATATACATTGCTCAAGTCCAGGCTCTAAGTCTTTGGTTTGTGCTTCCTGCTGACACTGCAGAGACTACAAGAGCCATGAAAGCTGAGTCTGACTTTGGGGCTTCACATTTGCAATAGCAGAGCAAATTAAATGGAGAGCATGTTAAGTGAGTTGGGAGATAATTGTTGAACAACAAATCTTCATTAAGTTCCCACACCAAGCTGTGCTGCACCTTTAATGAAACTGATCATTGTTTCTCCTTCTATGTTTCAACAATTTCACCACCAGGTTTGAGAGAAATTCAGACTTGCTTGGGATTTAATTAGAAATAAAACACAATATTAATCCATCTTGCTCCATACATGCACCCAGTTTGGAGCTGTTGGTGCATCTTTCAAACAGGCCAAGTTTGACTCTGTTCCCCACCTGTTATTTACTGCCTTAGTTTTTGCTGGTTCTTTTACTGCCAGTGACTCATGGAGGCTTTGTTTACTGGTTTATGGTGACTTTCTGGATCACTGGTTTGCATCACCAGTTGTTTCAGCTCAAGAGTTGCCAGCATGAACCCCAAGAGTTCATATGACTTGCACCTCCCGAAAGCTAAGCCTGTCCCCAGAATAACAAGTTTTTGCAGAACTAGAGCAAGTCCTGTTCTGATGATGTTTGTGACTGAAGGGAGGCTACCACAGCTGAGGCCTCTGGGAGCCTCCCCTGCAGACCACTAGAGAAATATTGCTCCATAGGTATAACTCAGGTGCCAAGTGACTCTGCTGTATGGGCTTTAAAAACACTGTCCAGTTTAGGACAGAGGGGTTTAAGGGAAAAGTACAAAGTAAACATGAGGAGGTACTCGGCAGTACTGAGAATGATGCAGCCTAAGCAGAGCAGGATCCTCTGCTCCAGACTGTCTTTGCCATGAAGGAAGAAGCAATTACTGTCTCTTTTAAGTATGACATGAGAAACAAAATGTGCATGCAAATACAGCATAAAGGGGGAAGATAGCCTTCAGATTTATTCTTTGACGGATACCATTTATGGTGGCCAAACTTTTTTTTTTCGGCCGTGGAGCTTGGCCATACCCCATACCATGTTGTCCTCAGAGTCAGATAACACTCAAAAAATTTAGGTGGCCCTCAACCTTTTCCATATAGAAAAGAATGCACCGATTATTTGGGTTTATGCAGTAGCACCCCAGCACACAAACTTATGGGTTCCCAGCACTTGGGCACTGCAGCCTCCTCTTCACAAAGGTTCCTGTTGTGTCCCAGTGCACTGAAGAGTGCAACCATAACAAGCTGCCTTCTAATGTGATTTAATTTATTTTTTTTTTAATTCTTGTATTAGAAGTTATCTGGTTTTTATGCTATAGAAGAAAATAGGTTCTGTTTTTGTAGTGGGTGATCTATGACATTTGGGGGCACACATTTTTAACTGCTAGCTAGTTTTAGAAAAGTGGTAAGCGTTTACCTGGGGGACAAATGATCAGAAATACCTATAATCCCAAGAGCTAACATAATTGCTGGGAAATTCTAGACCTCAAATCAGCTCTGCTACAGAATATGATGAATTCCTATTTTTTTCCTCTCCATAGACTTAGTAGCAAGATTTTACAATGAGAAGAAAGCAATATGCTTAGCTAACTTGGGATTTCATCTCCTTTCCTTGTATCCCTTAGACTATACACACATCAGCAAGCAAGCCTCAGCTGTGTTCAGTCTCACTCTGACCTCTGTACTAACTTGATTTACTGGTTTTAGTTCTCAAATAGTGTATTACGTTATAACTCAAACGATTTGATTAGAACTAGCTGGTATTTTAATGATTTATGAGGGGCATCTGGGACTGCATGGGTAGTGTACACATTGTGTCACTGCTGTAGGAGGAATCTGCATTGATCATACCAGCATGCTCCAAGACAAGAGCGTGTCAAATTCCTATAAGCCTGAGTTCACAAACTTGATCTGACAGGTGGCCAAGATTGCACTGGGACTGACCATCGTTCTCATGGTGGGAATAAAACAGACCAGCTGGATTGCTTCTAGCCATCGCATTATGAGAGGATTTCCATTCCTTTCTGTTGTTCTGTTCCTATCTTGCAGTGCTTAAGAAGGTGTTTATCCTTCCCAGTTTTGTAGCCAGAAACCTGGGCCACAGGAACTTGCAATCAGCTCTGTCTGTGTTTTATCCTTCTGCCAGAAGACACTGGTGTGAAATACAGGCTACTGGAACTAACCTTCCAGACCTCTCCACATCCTGCCATGGCTATCAAATTGCTAGCAAGTCTCAGATCAGAGAGGCTGGAGTGTGAGAAAGGTAAAGAAACAATTAGCACAGTTGGTTTAAAGCCATAATTGTCATGGCATTTAATAAGAGATCATGCTATTATTTTTCTTAAATAACTGCAAAAAAAGGACTTTGCAAGCACAGAAACAAGGGTATCAGGAGCACAGTGATAAAAAGGGTTTCTTGTCCTTGGTGTTTTTACATGTTCTGAATTTCTTTTGAGCACTGAAACCAACATCTACCAAAGCATTCCTAAAATCCTTGTCCCCAAGAGGAAGTCCAACCTTGATGGTTACCTCCTATTGTAAGCTGCCTTTTGCTCACTAGTGGTGACTAAAAGCTTTTGACCCACATTAAACCTAAGGGCAACTTTTTACTCAGGTCCAGCTATCACTACCAGTGTTTGGCAGCACTGCTCCTGGGCTGCCTCCCAGCTCAGACTTGTGGAGAGATGTAGTAAAATCATCAAATTTCACTTAACCATCTCCACCTGTGTGGTGGGTTCCTCATAAGATCACTGTAATAACATGTATGAAAGGCATTCCAGTGCCCAAGAAACACCAGGGAATCTTGACTCCCTACCTCCTGCTGTTTCCCAACTTACTTCCTAGCAGGTTACTCAACACTCCTGCTATGCCAGCATAGAGAATAAGTGTGCACTGTCTCCTCTAAGTTGGGTAGAATAGAGCTGTCTTTGTGGTGGTGGTAGGGACCACAGGATGAGAACAAAGAGCAGTGAAACTTCTAATGTCCTCAAACAGAAGAGACACAAGGAAAAAAAAAAAGAAAAAGCAACAATATATTGTTTTTAAGATAGAAGAACATACCAGAGTTAGTCACAGGGGAGAAGGACTTTGCATTGTGCTGTCCTTTTGGTTAGATCCTTGGGGCAGAAACCATTCATTTGTAATGGGATTCTTTGAATTCTGAAGCCTGATGTTTCCAGTTCTGGGCTGGAGGACACTTCTGTATTAGTTATTGTTAACAGCAGCCTTATTCACCTTCAGATGTGGGCTGCTAAACTCTCTTGGGCCACAGGATGCTGACCTAAGAGACTGCATTCTGACTGGGGTATTGTGCAAGGCACAGCACAGGAAATCCATTGCCTCTAAACCTTGCTAAAGCAAGAAATAAACATGACTTTCAGGTCATTTAGAAGGTGACCTGGGAAAATTTGATGAGGCTAGAATAAGAATATGCAACTTGGAGTAAATCTGAAGAATAAAACCATGGCTGAGAGACTGGAAACAACACCCAAGTGACACTTTGTCTTTCTTTGAGCAAGCTTGATGCAGCACACCCAGAACCCACCTGGCTTTCTCATGTTGTGTTCAGTTGGATGTGTGCTGTCCAAATCAACACCCCTTACGTAGCAGACTGCACACAAAAGAGTGTAGGACTTAGGCTGTATGGCAGTCACAGTTTCAGCCCAAACAACCATGGAGAATGGAGCAGAGAATGTGCTTGTACTACAGAATGGACAGGCTTTGTCTCCCACACAGTGACAATGTGAGGCTGAAGTGTATCACAAAGGTGAGCCTCCAGGCCACCAGGTCTGTGTCAGAGAACAGACTCAGCACATTTCAGGCCATCTGTGAATAAATCCAAACTTGTACCTCTCCCCAGGGTCATGCTGTACTAACATCATCCAGTAATGAGAGCAACACACGCTCCCTGCAACTGCAGGCTGCAAATATTGGTAAAGCATTGCTACAAGCCATGATAAAGCAGCTAGGATTTATGTTGTTCAGAGAGGGTTAGGGCTTTGGAGTAGTTGTACCAAAAAACCAGTGTCAGCCAGACAACCCAGCTGGTTCTGGCTGGCAGTTCCAAGAGAAAATCAAAGTGGCACATGTTGTTCCTGATTTAGAGCAACCTGCATCAACTTGCCAGCCTGTCTTTCAGAAATGTTTCATCCTTCAACTTTTCAGTAAGCTTCTGAGGGTGCTTCCAGGAGGAAAAACAGAGCTTACCAATTCAGAGAATACCAACATGTTATTGCTGGAGGCAAGAGAGATACAGTGATCTAACAATCCTTGAGCCCAGAAGAAAAGCCAGCTTTAACACAGAACAACTAAATTTTAGGTAAGCTTGTCTTCAAGTGCAAGCATAGTGATATCAAGAGTGTTTCATAGCATGTCTAAGAGCTGCTTAGTGCTATAATGCTATAGATTAGGATTTTTGTTTTCTCAAAAGGTAGTGAAAAATGTCAGTACTGAATGGAGGAAGGAGTTAGAAACTGTCAGAACTGACAGTGAATTCTGATGGCTGAAGTCCATTGCAGGAGAGGACACCAGCAATAATATTTCATGAAGGAGCAGTAGCCTGGCTGGGAGCTAGAGAGACTGTGAAATGTGGGCATGGTGCTGCAGTCATAAATAGCATGGAGATGTGATAGATGCATTTTGGACCAGCTACTCTCTTCGGGTCATATGAAGTGTGTCTGCTGGTCTACCAGATCAGGTTGGGTTAATGTGTGTAAGGATGCACTTGGCAGCTGAGTAGAGGTACCAATGGGCTCCACAGGCCTAGTTTTGCAGCTGAACTGTGCTCAGAGCCAAAAGTCACATCATCTTTGCTGGGCCTAGGGTTGGAAGGGAACTGACTTTGCTTTACTTGCTTGCCAAGAGCCAAGTTCAGGTCCTTAGAGCTCTACAGTGCTCTTGCTCCAGCTGATGACTTCATGAACACCTAGTGCTGGGAGGAACACAGCTCCCTGTACAGCCTTAAAATATCTGTTTCCCTGCATATGCAATGACATCATTGTCACCTGAGGGCCCAAACTCTGGTCTTGGCAGGTAAAAGCCTCACATTGGGGTTCTCCATGCATATTTATGTCATGATTGCTGGATAGCTGTAATTAAATGACTGTAAAGCACCACCTAAAATGCAGCAGTAATAAATTCTTAATAGCTGATGCTATAATGAGCAGTTACACAAAAAAAATATCATAACATGCAGATTGTTAACAGTGTCTGGGCCTGTTTAATGCTCAGCTTTAAATAGTTTCAATGCACACTGTTAAAAGGGCATGTAACATTTGTAACTAGTAAATAAAAAATCCAATTCAGAAACAAAATATACCCAAGCTTCAGTGGTGAAGAAGCCACCGAAGAGCTTGGGTTGGCTAAACTAGCTCTTATCTCTGCAGTCCTTGTGGTGGTGCTACCTGTCAGCCATGGTTTCTGTAAAGTATACTCCATGTACATTTGTCTGCCTGGCACAGGTTCTGTCTGTGCTTCTGTCCTGACTCATGAACATGGTAAGAATCTCACTTATGTTACAAATATGCCACTAGGTACATGCAACCCATGGTTTTGCATTTTGTGAAGAAAGGATGGGTTAGGGAAAATTAATTTTGCTGTTCATATTTTTCACTTCTCTTATCCACTCAAAGATGCTGTCTCTACAGAGTTGGTTTCCCATGGTTAAAGAATAAAGTAAATATAGGTTCAAGACGCAGAAGAGTTAGCGAAATCAGCAGGTGGTCAGGTTTTGCACACTTGGTACAACAGTGCTGCACATCAAAGGATGGCTGAGTCTGTCTAGCCACTGTCAGGAATTGCACACATGGTTGGTAAATACAAATGTACTAACCAGCTGATGACAAGAGAATGTTTTATACTACAGTCACTGAAAAAAACTCCGAGGCCACCCTGCCTTGGAGCCTGCATGCTAATGTACATCCTGAAACAGTCAAAACCATTAGGTTTGAGAACTGCAGCCTGGCCCACAGACTTCCTATGAAAAAATTAGGCATTTTTGAGGCTTCTGAGGCCTAGCAATCCATAACATCAGTGGAAACTGTGGTAAATTCAGCATGTTTGAGAACCAAAATGGGTTGATTAATTTCTTCCTTACGTTTGAGTAGTGCTTTGTATCAAAAATGTAGCTGCTGATTTCCCTGGATGGTGCACAGAGAAAATTTTACTGGGACAGCAGGGAAACATCACTATTCCTCTAAAGTTAGGACACCAATGCAATACTGAGAGGGAAAAAAATCAAATGTTTTTGTCTTGTGCTGCTCAAAGCTGTCCAGTCCAGAGATTAAGTCGGCTCCTCAACATAGGCCTTGTGTGATCTGTGGAGAGCAAGTCCACCTAATGGATTTTGCCAAATCCCACTAAGTGGGTGCCTTGCCATAAATGCATAGTTGTATTTTGCTAGTGGGTTTGGAAGCCGCCACTAAATTTGGGAGTGCTGTTCAGATTACATCCTCCAGCTGCTGAAGAGATTTTCTTACAAACAGTTGGCTACACAAATACCGTGTGCCTCCCTAGACACTGCCTCTGTCTCAGCTTTCAAGTCCAGCCAGCCCTACCTCAGTCATTGCTGCATTTGATTCATACCATCTATATCTCATAGTGCTCCTAGCAATTGATAAATTATGACTCCAGTGAGACTATTGGGTTAAACGCTAAGGAAGAAAGAATGATGACAGCAATACTTGTCATTTGTGTGGCGATGTAGCAACACAAAACCCTCTCTCAAACATATGTTATCTTGGAGGAACCTTTCCAGGGGATAGGCTTTCTGAGAAATGTTTATGGCTTTTGAATACATGATAGGCGTGAACTTGACACGACCTACTTGGCCAAGCCCTGAGCTTCAGCCTAGTCTTTTACCACCACAAATCAGTCTAGTCAAAGTATAGCCAGACTGATATCTTCACTGGGGATGCCAAGGCTATAACACATAGAAGCTTGAGAAAACACAGGATGGAGGCTGCTTTGTTCTCAGGATTTAAAGACTCAGAAATATCTTTACTAACATCATAAGAAAATAGCTAAGTTCTACCCATACAGAAAACCCAACAGGGGCCCTGGGATGATTAAAATATTTGACACTTGATTAAAATGAGCATACTGACATCCTTATAGTATATGCAAATCCCTCCTTTATGCTGGCATTGGAAAATGCAAGTTAAAGCAGAGGTTGTAAAGGCTTTCTACTAAATATCCCAGACATGAGTTGTTTTTTCCTCCTGACTTAGCACAGCATCATGCTGCAGGATTTTCTGCTGCTTCATCTCAGACTTCATACCATCCTCTCAACTTTATCTTGTATCAAGGTAATGTCAAATTGTCAAATTACACTGACCTTTCATTTTGTTGTTTAATTAAATATCGTGGAATTGGAGAAACTGGATAAAAGGTGGCATGTGTTTCCGAGGACTGAGACACCTGTAAAGGAATCTAAAGTCCCTATAGGGCCTCTCCCCAGCATGGCATTGAATAGCACCAATTATGCTACAGATAAAGCCGTAGTCACTGAATTAACTGAAACCCAACCAAAGCATCCACAGTATATGCAGTTTGTAGGGGCATTCCCTGCTGGGCAGATGGGAATCCTAAACATGAATCCTAAAGTCATGAAGGAGATATTATGTGGGACCTCTCACAGGACTACTTTCTTTTTTTCAACTGGGAATTCAACTTTCTTCCTGGAATAGTTGATACATGAGGAACCATTGACCTGTTTGCTCTCATCACCCAACTGCAGCAAAGCCAACAACACACATGAATCCAGGGAGATAGCTACAGGTGCAGGCAGGGATCGTGGCACAAACAGCCTGTATCATACTGTGGGTCACTCTGCATTGTCAGAATGACCTGCTTGCAACAGGCTGCTGATTGCAATTCTCCTGCTAGTTGTAATTAAGGAAATTCTATTGCATAGTACAGATACAATTACAGTTGCAGTACCACCCAATACAAAATTATTATAAATATAATGGCAAAATTTCTCCTATGTGATTGAGTAATTACCACAATACAACTCCAACAGAGCAAAGATCAGGAATGTTTCATGTCATCATCATTCAGAAACCAGCATTTTAAAATTGTATTGCTCATTCATACAACACACATCTCAGAAACAGATCCACTACAAAAAGTCAGTATAGAGGAATTGAGCTGAGAATCATTAAAAACATATTTTTTAAATGAACAGACATCACATTATTACATATAATAATTTTCCTTTCACACTAATTTTTTTAATCTATCCATGTTCCTTATAAAACATGACACAAAATTTTAATCATAGCATTGTTTTCCTTAAACATGTGCATTTTAGTAATGACACTTGCATGTATAAATTTAGTGAGTTAAGATGTTGGACTGGTGCCAGAACTGAGTAGTCATTTATTAAGAAAAAAAATTATCCTGTTTTTCTGTCTGTAAATTTTCTATGGAAAGCTATTCTTTTTTCAGTGCATTCATTATTCAGCATATTAGTTGAATAGCCCTACTGAGGTTTCTCTGCTTTTGAATCATTCGCAGCCTGTTAGTTGCAGTTATTTCACATTTGAAATTTGAAATCTAGTCCTTCCTTTTATTGCATGTAGAGTTTACACAAACGGCTGCTATTCTCTAGTTTAAAAAAATATGACCAGAATGAAAATGGAATAAGTTTTGTACATATCATCAGCAGTTCACTCTGTGTTTCAACAGGAATAAATTCCTTATCTATAATACAATATCCATGTGAGCACAAGCTGAAAGTCATCTTAGGATAATTCTGAAGAAGCAGTCCCATCATATAAAGACTGTTATTCCACAGCTTTAAATATCCATGTAGCACACAGTACCTCCTTTTGCCCAGCCTGTGCAATTATGTTCCCTTCTAGAAACAATTCTAACAAAACAAAGCAAAACAGTCTTTGAAGGAGCACTTTTCCTTAGGTGCACTATATGTCACAGTTACCTGCCCTGCTCCTGTGAGGCTTAGGGAAGCAATGCTGACAGCAGCCTTCAGTCCTTCAAGGTAATAGGAAAATCAAAGTGTTTATTCAGTGGAGAGGGCAAGAGAAAAGGATAACAGGCAGTACTGAATAAGAAAAAACCAAAACAGTTTAAAGCAACTTTACGGGGAGTAAGAAGTGCCCTAGAGTAGTCATTAGCCACACTGCAAAGAATTAGGTACATCAAAAAAGGGGAACATTTGCTGCAGATATTATGAGGTGGGAAGGATTGGAGGAGGTTGCTATACTTAAAAGTACTTAATGGACTGGCAGATGGCTCTGTGGTCAGGGCACAGGAAATTCAAGTCCCATTTCTGCTGCAGGCCTCCTGTGAGGGATCAGAGAAGTGTCCAAGATCACCAGCAGGAGCCAGGCACAGGGGACACTGGGGTGGCCAGTGTCAAAGCAGCGATCAAAATCAATGGGAAATGCCTGTTCCAGTAGGGAGTTCCTCCATGCCTCCTCTTGCAGAAAGCTATCCAAAATGGGCAAGAACATCTGCTTTTGTTTTCACAGTAAAAGCTGAGACTGGATGAGATATGCGCATTTGGGAGGGGAGCACATTCCACAGTGGAGCTCTTTGTAATGCTCTTGTAACAATACAAGACCATTCTGGGAACATCACTTGGTGAAAACTTACTCTATCCAAGAGGCCAGAGCTGCCATGAAGGCCATGAAGGTGGCAGAAGGTGTACTGAAATGACAGAAGGCTCCTCTTGGCAACTGGGTGGCACCCCATGTACATGGAAGAAGGGTGACTTGTTGGGACCATTCTGTGGCCTGACCCTCCCCTCCTTCTTTTCTATGGATATTTCAAGGAATTAATTGCTCCATTTGCCCTTCAGCAAAGCACTGCATTAATATGAAGGTGCTTGAACTTGAATATAACCTATTTGTTAACAATAGACATGTTCAGCAGAAAGATACAAGATTTCAGGTTTGCTGTCCTGGACTGTTCTACCCCAAACTAATCCTCAAATCATTTATGTAGAAGACATGCTTCAGGCAGTGCCAGAGCAAGACTTTGACTCACTGACTAGAACTTCATCCATGTCCTAGACAGGTGCTTCTGTTTTAAGGCTCATGAGCTGACAGACTTCCTGCTATCTCTGTAATGCAGATGTTTGGCTCATTTTTAGAACATACCAAAAAAAAAGTTTAGTATCTTCTTAGAACAGAACTCTGGGAAAAATGTAATTTCTATTCCCCTCTTAAAAAATCCTCCCAACAGTTCAAATCTACAGCTAACATTGTAGAGGAACCACTATTTCAAAAGAAATGTACCATATGGAAACAGAGTAATTCCAGAGATAAAGTGATGCCTAAAAAAAGTGTTTCTCCTTGTAACTAAAGTACGTGCTTCAAGATTAGAAATGGGATAGCTCTTGGAGGGAGCAGAGGAATGCAAATTAAAACAACTTACTAAAAAAATTAGTCAATGCTCATATAAATGACAGCTGGAATCACTGTAACTCATCCAGATTTTTCTAACATGAACATTTGTCATGAGGACAACTCTATGGCCAGTAAATACCATTGGAAAGAACCAAACTCCTCCTTACAGAGTTTTCCTCATTGAAGTTGACAATTAATAGCTAACCAGTGAATATGATTTTGCATGACTGATTCTACTCAGTCCAGATCAGTTTGTTGAGCAAATTAGAAGACAAATCATGTTAAGTATATATAAGGAGGTCCTAGTTACCTGGTTAAAGGAAAACCTCAGCATACCATGTTAGTACTTTGTTTCTACATCCTGTGAGTAGATATATTTACACAAGACATTTTCCATAGCATTACCTGTTTCCATGTGAAAGCAGAAGCCTTGTGCTGGCATATCAAGGGCTGGCCTTTTTCACTGTGCTAATAATAGCATCTAGATTTCCAGATAGTTGTAGGCACTTCCCCATTTCCTATGATGAAAATAATCCTTAAAACTATAATAAAGTTTTAATCAAGTTTTTGACAAGATGAGAGGAAGAATGGGGCCTGTCAGAAATATCTCTGGCTGATAGTGAATGTCTGCTCTCCCCTTTTAGGATGGCCTGGGACTCCTTGTGCAGCCAGGACTTACGGCGGCCTAGGATAAGAAGTGCCTCCAGCTGGCCGTCTGGCAGTGGGAGCAGCACTGGGACACCATCCCTGGAGGAGCTGCGGCGCCTGCTCTGCACACGCACACACCCCACAGGGCATGTGGATGAAGTCTGGCCAAACCTTTATGTGGGAGACCTGTAAGACACAGGAAGGGCTGAAGGTTATTGCAACTCTTCCCCCAAATCTTCCACTCTTTATTTAGAAACAGAGAGCTAGGCACTAATCTGGGGACCTCTCACAACAGGTCTAAGTGTTGAACAAGATTGAACAGTGCATAGGATGCTGTAGCATAGAGGAAATGCATCCTAAGTAATTTAAAAAATATCCCCATTACTGCAGCAGTCACACACTGCAACAGCCCACTGAAGCTGTGGCATTGGTACTTCAGGCAGTCATGCCAAAGCTGGGTAAAACAGAATCAAGCTCATTTTCTCCTCACTTTGCCAGATGGCATCAGCTGTCTGAACTGATGAATACTTAGCAGAGGTGACTTGGTGAGAAAGTCCTTGAAATCAGAAAACCCTTAGCTTGTGCAGAAATATCTCCACCACCGCCTTTCCTCAGTTGAGAACCATTTAAACATATGTTTGGGAAAAAAATTAGGGAAATGTATGAGTTAGTTTCCTAACAAGTTACTTCTCAAAGCATTTTTTGACACTTTGAACCTGTTCAAAGTGTCAAAGAACCTGTTCAACCTGTCAAAAAATAGCCACTACCACTTCCTGCCATTGTAACAAATTCACCATCAGCAGCATGTTCTTTGATTGCAATGCAGCAGGCAAATATAATTCCCTATCTTCCAGGTATGTTGCTCGTGATAAGGCACAGCTGAGCCGCATGGGCATCTCACACGTTGTGAATGCCGCTGCCGGGAGATTTCGCATCAACACCGGGCCCAAGTTCTACAGTGACTTGCCTGTGGATTACTACGGAGTAGAAGCAGAGGACAACCCAAACTTTGATCTCAGCATTCACTTCTATCCAGTTGCTCAGTACATCAGAGCAGCACTGAATTCCCCAAGAGGTAACTAGCCCATCTGTGCATGTTGCATATCTTCTGCATAGTAGACAAGCAGGGCAAGTTATCAAATATTATTTGACATAAACAAACCCACCTGTATGTGGGTAAGAATGGAGATACCCAAACAAAGTAGCATCCTACTTGCCTCTTGAACATCTAGTGGTAGTTCTTCTGTTTCCCTGAAACAGGGAAGGATGCACTGAACAAGCTTTTAAAGGATTCTCCCTATGCCTAGTGTTATCTATCAGCAAAAGACAAAATAGTAAGTGTCCTTTATTACCTATAGGAACACACTGACCTAGGGGGAAGCACATAATTTGATTTTTTCAAATTAGTGATGGGATTTAAAATACAAGTGTCATATTTGAGTAAGATGATTCAACTATAATGCTATAATCTGTGCAAGTCCTACAAACACAGAATAGGGAAGAACTTGCTAGAAAGCAGTTCCATAGCAGGGAGATCAAGCAACACCACCAGCCAGGAATAATGTCATGCTGTTGCTAGAAAAAGGATAACTTTGAAATAGAAAGACAACCCACAAACCCCTCAGATTCACTAAGTATATGCCAGGTACAGCACCAGAGGCTTGGGGACAATGGGAGATAATTACTACTAAGGTCAAGCCTTCACAAAAGCAAGTCATCACTGTGCCACAAAACTGTACAGATGCTATTCAGAAGTAAGTGGTTTAATAATAGAGCAGTTGTATACTCAGCAAACCATTTTTCTTACATCATGGTGAGATTTTATTGTAATCAGGGTCTTAAAGTACTAACTACCCAGCTTGTATGTATAATTGTAAGCATTAGTAGATCTGATCCACACCATACTAGCCAGGAAGGGGAGACACAGTAACTGCAAACAGTGTACCTTCATTCTAGGTACCTATGTATTTCCTGCACTTCAGAGGGCTTGTTCTGTTCTGTTAGAAAATATTTGTCTTTGTGCAACTTAGGGCTGCATTTGGGGAATTTGGATTTTCACCCATTTTTATTACAGCATATGCTATTTGCAATTGAAGTTATTATTGGCAGTGCTCCAGAGAAAGGTAAGATCCAAAATCTGTTCACATGCATGTTAAAGTAAAGTTCCAAATCAATTGACAAAAGACAAAAAAACCAGCAGATGAATTGTAGAAGCCACAATAGCAAACAAAACTAGTACTTTGTAAAATGCATGCTGAAATACTAAGTTATGAATGCAGAACAAGTTACGGCTCAAGGCGTATTTATCCCTACTCTCATGCTTTTAATATTGCTTTACAGAAATTTAGCAGCTAAATACCCATGACCTGTGCAGGGATGAGACGGGGAAGGGATTGTTACTCACATCATTTAGAAGAAGAAAAAAAGTAGTGTTTATTATAAGCAGTGAAACTGAACAACAGAAAAATATACCAGGTAACAAGAGGCCTGTCCATATTAAATACAGGATATAATGAGGTACTACTGTTTGTTTGAGGTACTACTGTTTGTTTGAGATGTCTTTTAAGACTGCTGCTTAACTATTACAAGCAAATTCAACATAATTTTTTTTTCTCTTTAACTGATATATATTATCCTTTTTACCTAAGAGAACAAGTCAAAGTTAAGACTTTATGAGGTACAAACATATTTAAAACTAAGAATCAAAGACTCATTAAAATTAGGTAAGAATTGTTATTTCCATCATGCTTGAAAAATATCTGGTGCTTTACACCACAAGTCTAGAAAATGGCATAGACAGATTTATTCCAGATTTCTACTTTAGCTGAACAGAATATTGTCTTTGATGATGTAAGGAGTTTGTTTTTAAGGCAGTTTCTTAAAACTCGGGTGCCAGAGTGTGAGCACAAGGAAGCAGAGGGGTGTGCACTTACTTGCTCCTCCTTGGGAGCTGTTCCTGTTGCAGTGGCCAATGACTGCATCCCACAGTGACTGCCTTCATCATCTTTGTTGCAGAAATTAGAAAGTACATGCACAACTATTGCAGCCATACCACGTAAGCATTATTTTATGATCCCTACTTCCTTGACTGCCTTTCCTTCAGCACAGCCTGGCAGTTTTTTGCCCATGTAACAGAGCTGTTTGGGAAGGCTCAGATAAGAGTGAGCAGATGCACAATCTGTCCCCTTCCCAACAAGGAAAAACATGGAGCTGGGGAAGTGCTGGCCTTCTCCCTCATGCTCAAGTTCAAAGGACAATACCTTGAATATCAATCTTGACCCTTTGCATGGCCACCTGTGCGATTTGCATTCCTCTGGAGTGCAGCTAAACCTGAAGTAAATCAGCAGGGTTTTGTAAAGTCTGAGGAGTGAAAGAGAGCTTGATGAAAGCATGTCATGAAAACTATTAAACTAACACTGTGCTGAGAGAAAGGTTCCCAAGTAGTGAGCTTTTCCTTTTATTGACCTCTGACCATGTTTAAAACAGGCAGGTTAAAATCACCCATTAAAATCTTGAAATGGCAGACTCTCAAAGTCATTTCCCTTCCTCTACTTCAGTGGAGCAAATGAAAAGATAGGCTCCCTCTCCTGTTACCTTCTTGTTGATGGGAGTTATGAAACCTGCTTAACTCTGGAGAAAAGGGTCCTCTCGCTTGACTCCACCATAGGTGCATTACCTCCCACTGGAGGAGTCTGACCTCCCACTCTGCAGCAGATGACAGCTTTTACCTGCTCTGACTTGCCACTATTTAAAGCTCTCTGTAGGCTTCTTGCTATTTTCAGCTGTGACAAAACAGATACTGGATTAATCAAGAAATAGGCAGTGGATTCTGCACCTGGCTAAAACCTAACAGGAGATGAGAAAATCATGGCATGAGCCTCTAGGGCCCATTAGCCCAGCTGAGCTCTCCTTCTGAGCAGAATACTTCTGCTGATCCAATGGAGTGAGGACAGCTGTGACATTGACTATGGCTGACAGATCTGGAGCCTCATCTTAAGCCAAATTGAATCCATCCTGCAAGAAAGCAAAGGCTAGTTTAGGACATTTAGCTCATTTAATGATGATTAGCAAAAGGACAATAAGTTATTATGTGCTTTAATGACTGATCTTGTTCAACAACATTGAATTTCCCAACTTGAATTTGGCCAACAAAGTTGAATGTGCAAACTTTATCCCTAGTACAAGCCCTTTGATGTTAGTAGAGTTACAGCAGGCATGAGCTGGATAGAATATCCATAATCCACTGTTAAAAACCAAGTGTTATTGTTCTGCAGAAATCCCAGACAGATGACAGTTATTGTCTGCCTCTGCAAAAAGTAGCTCGAGATGTGTGGTGCAAAATTTCAAATAAGGATTGCAAGATTCAATAATGCCAGAAGCTAAGTGCCCCTACTTCTCCTCAGTTAATCCCATTATTCCTAAGGGATCCTGTTTCATGCTCAGAGAGAAGGTTGCAACATGGTCCTTTTAACATGGGACCAATCCAGCTTCTCTTTGCACTGTATGTTAAACCAGATGGGGGTGGGGAGGGCAGAGTTGGAAGATGGCAGCTCATAGTGCAGGTTCTGTGGTACAGGAGATGTGGTTATAACCTCCTTGCCTACCAAAGGGGAACACACTACTGCCTCTGTGAATGCTGCTTTCTGTGGCTGTGCTGTGCTCCAGCAGCCACCCAGGAATCCGAGCCTGAGTGCTGAGACATCTCAGCTACATCCCACAAGGGGCTGATGGAATGGCTGGAATCGCCCTCCACAGTCAGCCCACGGAGCAGACGTGCTTCAGGCGCTGGTCACATGCAGGATGTCATCACCAGGGCTTCAGAGTGTCACTTTACCCATTTGCAGCCACTGCTAAGAGACAAGGGTCTGACCCTGTAAACAGAACCAAATAGCAACACAGCTTTTGTTTCCTTACTCAAGTTTAACATTCAATTTGTTTGCTAAAAATAATCACACAGTAAATTCAAATCTGCTTTCATTAGAGCAATTTTACATTAATTAAATCATTTCACATGACTGATTTATCTGCAACAAACAAGTAATTTTATTGTCAGTGTACCAGCATTTATCATAGCTTTTGTTTTACTATGCACACAGGGTAACAATGTTGGAATACATATTGCACTTGTTAAAGAGATAATATACCTACATCCTCACGGGAACAAGGGATTAGAGAACCATGCAGATTAGGACCGAGGTCAATACTTGGGGCTTGTCCAGGTTTATGAGCAGGAGCCTGGCATTTGTTCTGCTTTCTGTGCCTCCAACAAAATCACAACAGGCAATATTTAACAGCAGCATTTATACCTATGCTCAGCTTGGTCTTCAGTTCAAGACTGCTGGTAGGGCAGAGCATTTTCAAAGGCAGAAATCTTCATAGAGTTGGGGGGTGGGGGGGTGAGGAAAGGACTCAAACAATTTTACAGAAGTTAGATTCAGAACATCAAGTCTCCTGTCCCTCTCCAGTTTATGCACAAATTCAGATTTAATGTCAAAATATATAGTAATGCAAAATCAAATCTAACATTAAGGCCACTTCTTTCTGATTTTTTCTTGCTTGCTTTTATCCGTTGTGATGCAGTTCAAACCATAAATTCTTTTTCTTTTAGTTGTAGAGTGCTGGTAGCTCAGAAGTTTTCAAACAAAGAAAAAAAACACCAGAAAAGAGTGATTCTGATTCCAAGAAAAATTTTCAGACCATTTTGTCCCTTGGCTTCTGTTCTTCGGGGTGCACATTTGGGTGAATGTCTGTATTTCCCATTCCTGCCACCACATTGCAGTTAGGCCTCCTGCAAACCACTGAAGCAAAGATTTTTCAAAAATCTTTTGGCCTAGCCCTATTTGCAGTATTTTTCAAATTGAAATTGTGTTCCTAATTCCTTTATGCTTCTCTGAAAATCTCAGACTAACGTTATTTGGATCCCAAGTGCCTCCTCTGGGGAAGATAATAGAGCATACATACCCTATAAGGTTGGTGGGAAAGCTAATGGAAGTGCAGCATATTGAAAAAGAAGTCTGATGGAAATTCAAATTAGCATTATCTTTTAGCAGGGGTGCAAAACATTTCTCCGTATATATGCCCATAAAAATCAGGACTTCCAAGAATTTTCATGAAGTTAATGGAAGTGACAGATAGCTGCAATTTTACTTGAATAAGGGCATCAATATCTCAGTAAATTCTATGAAACTGTATCTGAATGAGAAAACAGAAATAGAAATTCTGCAAAAATGGCCTTACATTTGAAAACCTCTTCCTTCCCCCAAAGGTTTTGATGCCTGGTCCAAGTCTGCTGTCACCAGAGCTGTTTTTGCCACTTCCTTGGAGACTATATTTGTCCCTTTATTTCTACTGAGGACATGTCTATCTTTAGGGGTGCACTCGGATTTCTCATGCTGGGATAATGAGAGGGGGCTGTGTCACATACATTGTGGAATTCAACACTTCTCTAAACCTGCTGGCCAGAGCAGGTTTTCACAACACATGCTCACCCTCTCTGAGCATGTGGCTATGCCATCATCATTAGTCAGAACTAGAATGGTTGCTAAATAAATACTCTGTCATAAACAAAATAGGATTTAAGATTAAAAGCTGTGCACAAAGTACCCAGAATTAACACCTGGGGGGATGGGGGCAATCAGTCTGAGGTTTTTGTCTGGATCTAGGCTCATCATCCAACAAGGATATTTTTGTCTTGCACCCTAGTAATAGAGAGATTAAGATGCTGTAAGCACAAACAAAGCAAGGGGCTTGCCCTGAAAAGCTGTCTGTTCTTTCTACCCCTCCTTACATTTTGCAGAGAAGCAGCATCTGAGATAGTCTGTTCCATCTCCAAAGGAAAAAAAGCAACATAGGATTGTCATCACTGATTTTTCATCTTTTCTGGATATAAATTGCACTGCCACTAAGTTGCATTTTGTACAGCTATATAATGAATGAACAAGAGACCATATATGTGACAGTCCAGAAAAAATAAAATTTAAAAAAAGGTAGAAAATGCTTTGTTTCAAACTTGTGAAAATTTCCAGTGAAGAATTGTTCAGAAACTTCCATGCTAAAAAGGCATTTTCTTCAGCTGCCTTAATGGGAGCTTAATGACTAATGTTCATTAGGTGGTCAGAAGTTTGCAACTGCTTCTAATCACTTGTTACTCTAATAATGCCGAATTGCTGGGTCACAGTCTCTGTGAGAAAAAGATCTGACTTCAACAAAGGACAAGAGAGCTTGAAAATGTTCAGGCATGGTTATAATTGAGTAGAACAGTTATACAATTGAGTTTCATACTCAAATAAAAATTTCTCATTGATCTTACCACTTTTTTGAAAGTTGAAGCATTTTACAATATTTACAAGATGCAAATTTTCAGTTTCTGGAATGAGCTCTTTCTTTACATGTAGAGGGAAAGGACCAGAAACCTGAATTCTTCCATTGGAGAGCAAAATTTTCCTTTAATTAAAAACTTTCTTTAATTCCAAATAAGACCATTTAAAGAAATATTCTTCTCCTTCCAATGGCTGCTTCTATTCATGATCACAGCAGGAAAACCAAAAGCAGAGCAGAGGGAAGGAGTGCGTTACACTGCTGAATCCCTGGAAGGTGCTCCCTGAGGCTCACTTACGGCAACAGGGGAAGGACCCAAGATGTCACTCTTAATGAACTCCTAACAAAGATGCACACTTTGCACTGAAATCTCTGGAAAAGTAAAAACATTTCATAAATTGTCTTCCTACTGGTCACTTAAAGAACAGGTGGAAATAGAGGCATTATGGAAGAACAGTGATTAATATGGGGTAAGCTTTAGAAATAAAAATGCTTAAGTGAGTCGGTGCAAATGCCATATACAAACGGCTGTTCTTAATGATAATGCCCATTTTCTTCAAACACTTTCAAAAAAGCCTGGCCAGCAGTCAGCACCCTCAGAAAGCATTACTGCCCTAAGCAAAGAAGAAAAAAGAAAACCAGGAGTGAGTTGAGTTTTTTTTGTGGAAAAAACAGTTTTTTGTGCAAGACTAGGGGTGTTGCTGTAACAGCAGTGAGCAATCCTGAGCATTCTACTTCTGAAATCCCAAGTTTCCAAGCCCTCTGGTAGTAAGTAACCTGCCAACCTGCCAAGGCTGCTTCCCACAGCATGGCCTTCAAGCGTGAACTCTTGAAACTTTGCCAGCAAGTACATCACTCCCAAAACCACACATGAGCAAGCAGGGACACAATGGATGGCAGGCTGGGCAGGAGGGATAAGGGTGTGCTGTCAGACTGACAGCTAAGCTCAAACAAGTGACCATGGATCCTGGAACACAATTAGGAATTTTCTGTCCCCAGCCAGTAAAAATCCCCAATCAGGGGAACTGCACCAGGGCTGCTCTGCAGGGCTGCACATACCTGCTTGCCCATCCCTAGTACCAGCTTCCATCTCAGCTCCAGCACAAAAAACCCCTCCATGAGGCCTGCTGGCATAATTGCAAATCTCTCTCATTTTTCCAGGCAAAGTACTGGTTCACTGTGCAATGGGAATCAGTCGATCTGCAACTCTTGTCCTCGCTTTCTTAATGATCTGTGAAGGTATGTCCCTCACTGCTGCCATTCACACTGTGCGCTCCCACAGAGGGATCTGCCCCAACTCCGGCTTCCTCCAGCAGCTTCGGGAGTTGGACCTCAAGTTAGGAAGGAGCACAGGCAGAGGAGCAGAGGCCTGCTAGTGCCAAGAAGCTTTGTCTCCTGGTGCCAGCCCAAGAGATGCTGCCCTCACTGAAGAGTGCAAGGATGCTGTCTGGACTGCTCTGTAGCTGTATGGTGAAACTGGGGAAAGGCTGAGCGTGAGCAAACTGTTAGGAACTGTTAGGCATGTATTTTTTGCATAAGCCCACTAACTGGAAAGAAAATGAAATAAAGAAGGATTCAAACTGGCAGTTTTGCTCACCTGGGCCTGTTTATTTAACTACCTGTTGGGCAGGGCATAGGGAGCAGTTGGATTTTTCATGTAGAATTAAAAGGCAACATAGTCAACTTGAAAAAATCCTTTTTTCTTGCTTATAATTGCATTTATTTGGCAAGAGGGAAAATGACTAAACTAGTAAAATAAAAAGAAAGCATGAGGCTTTTAAGCAAATCTTTAACATTTTGCATCCAGCTGGCTTAGGGTGAGACTGCTGTTTTTGCAAGCTGACATGATCCTTTGGTCTGACGTGGTGACACTAGTCAGGATTCAATTCAGACCATGGGCTCCCTCTGTTACAAGCCATGGAGGCTCTTGTGGACCTTCACTAGTCCTTTTTGCTGAGTATGGCAAATATTCAGAACTTAAGGACCATGAAATCCTCAAGAGCCAGCTCTGGAGCTCTCAGGCAGACACTGCACCCTGGGGCCCAGCTGTTGACAGCCTCTCAGCTGCTCAGAGAGAGGAAGGTGTCCCCTTGCATGCATGGAGCAAGGAGCATGCCCAGGGCACACTGCCCGCTGGCACACTGCGGGGCAGCGCAGTGCCAGACAGAAATGTCCTCCTCTTAGCTTGCAACCCGATGCTCGAAATCACATTCCCCAAATTTCCCTGTTTTAGTGGAAAGTCAGAACCTAGTGTCGTCATGTCAGAGCAAAAATGAGCAATGCCTCTAACAAATCCAAAGTAGCAGCTCTGCATTTCAATTACTCTTTTACGCCCAATTGGCCACATTTAATCTTGTGAAGAACTCGAAGCAGATATTTGCTCCAGTGCAATTACAGCCACATACAGAACATTGGCAAATGCAAACAATATAGAATTTCCACTTGACGGCAGATTAATTTGGTGTGATGTTTTCCCTCGAGAAGCCTTAAAGGCTCTCAGTTCTGAAAGTACCCTGCAGTTTGTATTTATAGCACCATGGATGTTGAATAGAAAGAGGGAAGCATATACTTCTTCTGAACTGAAGTTTCTTTTACCTCCATACATTAAAAATATTAACTGAGCATAGCACACCTTTGCTTCATTTCTCATAATACAATATGGAAACATGATTTCCCTGCAGAGTCTATAGAGGAATTCAGGTGGTGTTTCCACTTTCATAAACATATTAAGTAAAGCATAGCAATGCTACAGACTAATTTCCTCTCAGGGAACAGAGGCACATGTCTTCCCTCCAGAAAGGGTCCCATCCTTTGAGACTGGAGTAAGCAGTCAGAAGCGAGGTCATAGCTAATGATGGAAAAAATCAGTGAGGTTATAGTTTTCACAGGCCTCTTATTGCCTGCCACAGCAAGGAGATTATATTTCAGTAAGCATAGTGACTGAACCACTCCTGGCACTTGGGTCTCTTCCACCTTGGTCTGTCTGGGATTCTTTTTTATTGCAGACCATGCTGAAGCTTTTTTGTGAGTGGTGTTTTCAGCTGCCTTACTAACCACTCCCTTCAAGCCTCTGTAACTTGACCCATGCCAATCCCTATATTAAAGCACAAGAAGCGTATGAAACACAACAGTCCAAAATCTCCATGCATTGAGCCCATCAGGACAGGTCATCATTTCCAATGAGTTGCACATCTGGAAACATATGTGGTCACAGGGAAGAACTTAAAGTGAGCAACTTGTGAGACTGACTGAGCCTAAAGTTACCCCAGCTGAGGCGTTTTGGCCATTGTGAGACTATTTTAGCCAGCCAGGGCAGGCCATGGATTTCCCTGCCATCCATGACTTGCAGCTGGGATCTATACATCTGTCTGGAGCTGCAGTGTGCAAGGTAAGCTAGGGCACTGGCAGAGTAGGAGGCCTTCTGGCTCTTGTCACCATTATGGGTGCATAGTAGACGCTTCCTCTTCAACATGGGAAAAAACCCAACTAAACAGTAAAAAACACTCAAAAAGACCCAAAGAGAATAATCCAATCCCAGGACAAAAAAATCCTTTTCTAGAAGTGCCTGTCCTATTTTGAGTGCTTTGCATTGCTGTGAAGTACAGACAGTGAGAGGCAGGTCCCCCATCTCCTTACAGGTTCTCCACCCTTCAGGAGACAATGTTATGGAGCCCACCATTAGCTCTCCTCTTTGTGAGGGCTGCAGCACCATGGAGGTGACCTGGCAGGGCCACAGGGGCAGGCTCCATATTGATGACAATTTAATCCTATTTTCTGACATGCACATGTCCTACACACTGAGGCTTATTGCTCCTGTGCTTAGTTAAACAAAAGCCTCTTAAAGTGTTAATGGGCAGTGGCAGTGACACCACTACCATTTCCATGAACACCCTTACCTGGTGCAGAGCAAACACTCTGGTTTATTTATGAACTTGTCCATTCTGTCCTTATGAAAGAGAAACCTCGAGTGCAGTGGTGGAGCTGGTATACCTCCCTCACAAAAACCCTGCCAGGAAGGATGGGTGCCTTAGCTCCTTTTTGCAGACACCTGAAGTTTGCCTGAGCTGCAACAGGATGTTTGGGGAAAAGCACAAGGGGATTGCTCTCCAAACTCCAGTATTGGCACAAAAGCACGAGAGGCGTTTTCTCACATGAGATATCTTGCCTTCACTAGCTTTTCCTCTCAGACATTCAGCAGTGATACAGAGAATATTGCCATGGGCATGTCTGCACTGTGTTATTTATCCTTTGGATTTGTACTTAGGGTTTTATTTGTAAAAGGAAAATGAGGCCATAAATCTGCTGTGCAAGGAGCCAAGGGAAGAGAGGACAGAAATTTTCAACAAGATTCATGCAAAGAGATGCCAACGACAGGTTTCCCATGGAAAGAAATGCCAGCCAAGATATTGTCCAGGTACTCACCATGTGTAGTGGCAGCAGCTAAGAGTGTCAGCCTTTTTCTCATGGGTGCATTGACTCATTCCTCCTTGTACAGGTAGCTTTGGAGTTGCGGCAGGAAGGATGGCAATCCTATGGGAGCATCTTCATCCATAGCTTTTGCTTCCAGCACACACAGGACCACTCTTCAGGTACAGCACGCTAAATAACCCCCCATGACTCTAAACAAGGGTGGAGGGAAGCAGTCTCAGGCAGACCCCGGCTCTGCATTACACTGCCCTCTTCCAAGCTAGCCCATGGCTCCGATTCTGCTTTAACCCTGGCACTGCCCACCACGCCCAGGTGACATTCAACGCTGATGATGCCTAGACCAGATCTGCCCAGCTCCTGCCAGCCCCACCAGAATTGCAAAGCACTGTCAAGCCCACTTGCCAGACTGATCCTCCTCCCATTGTCTTTTGTCCTGTATTTTTCTGATAACAAGGCTATGTGTTACTGTGGAAAGGGGTTTCAAAACATTTTGTGCTTTGCAAATTTACTTCATAGTCTGAGGTTCAAACAGTATGTGCAGCTCCTGAAGCCAAGTCAAACAGGAATCTAGGGCCTATGGGACTTTCAACATTTAAGTTTTCTTTAGGCTACAATTATTTTGCTTAGAAACTAGACCCTTGATCTGTTGCAGGAGGCTGCAGTTTAATAAAGTCAAACAGTTTGCTCTTTGCAATGTACTATTTGCAGTACAAGTATCATTGAGTTACACTGCTCCCCCTCACCTCTGCCTTGACTGTTTATATACAGAAAGCACTCTCAGGAAGACTCCTAAAAATACCCAGCAGTGTTAGCTGAGGAGCTGACTCTGTCTCTCCTCCGCCTGCTTCTGCCTCCATAACATCCTTCAATCATCTTGATGCTCAACAACCCCAGCTGTTCAAGCAAACTTGCCTCATTCTCTAAAAAACTGTCCTTTTTCTTCCTCCTCTGCCAGTAGTTATTCTCCACCCTGCCACAGAGCAGCTTCTGTGATGTTGCCATATCATGTCTTATCCAGACTTCTCTCATTTGATTACTAAATTAAAGTGAAGTCCATGACAACTTCCCCAGATCTTTGATCTCTGCCCACATTTCAGACAATAAGGTGGTGGCAAGTAAAGGTGATAATAGTATCTGAAAAAGAATAACTTCTGTTCCTTTACAATGTAAAGGGGTATCTGAATACTGCAAAACAAGATGCAGTACTCTCCACAGATTAACTTTTGAAACCACTCTCAGGGAAGTGACTCTGCAGACAAAGGCATCTCCCAATGGAAATACCATTGCAAATAAAACTATTTTCACAGTAGTACAAATAGAAAATCTGCACAAGCAAGTCCAGCCAGCTGGACAGATAAAAACATTAGTTCTTAAACACCAAGTTAAAAAGCAAGACTGGAATTCAGCTCACACTTCTGATCTGTCTGTTGCTCAAGGTATGGGCAGAGCCTCCTCTCACACGAAATGTTACTTGTCAAGGAATAGGGTCCCCCAATTGCTGCAGACTGGTCCTGTTTGTTGGCAGTCATCTTCATGACCACAAAGATATTCCAGCACATTAAACAGACATCCAGCACAGACCAAGTTCATAGCAGCACAAAGGATCTTTGATGCTTCTGTCTGTCCACACATCAGCTATAGAGTTGAATGTTTCTCTTCTGTAGGTGTTCAGCAGACAGTAAAAATGAAAGCTCAATAATTCTGCTGTTGTAGTAGATAAGATCTAGTGTGGTTGTTCCCAGTGTAAAACACTTCTGACAGTTGCTGTTCTACAAACCCCTTTCTATGAAAACAAATCATCTAATTCCTCCTAATTCAATAACAATTATAATTAATCAATTACTCTAATACTAAATATCAAAAATTCAATACTCAAAAACATTTAATACCAAAATGATCCATCAAAGCCCTTAAGATTGCTTTTGGAAGATCAATAGCTCTTCAACAAAAATTCCCAAGAAGCACAGAACTGTAAGAAGTGAGACACTGAAAATTTTTGCATCAACATCATTTAGGTTGCTTACAATGAATAAATAAATAAATCAGTTCTTTACAAAATCCCCACCCACCACTGGAAAACCATCAGCTAGGGAAGAGTAAGCAAGGAATTATTTGCTCAGCTCTGGTGACAATTGGCTGTTACTAGAGTTATTCTGACACATTGTTTTCAAGAACATCTGTTTCCACTCCGACTCCCTTAACTTTCAGATGTGAAAAACAAAAGCTCATTTTCAAGCCACATCTCCCATCTT